TTTATCTTATACAAATTATACTGTCATTTCTGATTAAATTTGTTATGATTGGTTATATAATTGCATTTTTGACATTACTGGTTGTAAGACTTACGCAAATGATTGCACAACTATTAAACTAAATTAACAATGCTATTCGTTTTCAGGCTTTTGGTAAGATGGTAAATGTGTCAATTATCTTAATTGCCAACTTAACACAACTGCAATTTCAAATATTGAATGCAAATTAATAAATACTTAATTTTGTAGATTAAATTATACTAAAGGTTAAGGATGTTCTTTTGTTAGTTGCAGCATTATCTTAAATTAAACATTATGTAATTCATCAACCCTTGTTGATGGATAAAAGTGCAAATGGACATCATCATGTGTAACGAAATAATGCTTAGAATACACATCATAATTTGACTGTGAAAATAGTTATGGTTACTTTTCATATGTAGTCACTTAATGTTATTGGTGTGGATTAAATATTACAAAATGTTCTAATAACAAATAGCATGATGTCACCTATTTCACATCAAGATTGCAATAATTACAATATTCTATAAACAATCTAATTTTCTATGAGTTAAAAATGTACAATTAAAAAATTACTATGTTCAGAATATAAGTATAAGCATGCATGCGTGAGAATATTAGATGGTATAGAGTGTTATTGGGACAATAGTTTTTGTAGAAGTATCTGTGAAATCATGTATATGTTCCCATCCTAACCTACAGATTGTTATTAAATGAGTCCTTATTGTTTGTTGAACTCTCTTAATGGATGTCAATTCCCAAGTTGCTCTTTGCTTTCACCACAGGAATGTATTATTTATGTTTCCAAATGTTTTTGGGATGGTTCCATATGTTAAATTGTTGGTGCTTGTAATAAATATATAACTAGTGATTTATGTTTAAATACTAATAATTCATAAGATATACCTTGTTTTTGGGATGGTATCTATTGCACTGAAAAAACTTGTTAGAATAAACCAAGTACTTCCTTTAGTCCATCAGAATGCGATAATTGGCTTCGTAATTGTTAACTAGATAGCTTTAATAATTCATGTGTTGAAGAATGTACATCAGCAGATAATTCATATATAACACATACATAATGTGAATCATATAATTAAAATAAAAGTTGCACTCTTAAACTTGATATTATTAAGTGCGTAGATTTACCAATATCATGCTCTTTACCAAAGAAACCTAATGTTATGTAGATAAGAATGGAAACAGATGCTAGTTTTCATTATCACTTAATTAATGTATCAATTTAACATGTTCAAATTTGGATGACTCTTATAATACACATTAGAAATGTAACTTAGAAATATAAACTTATACAGTAAATTAGACGATGAATGGATGTTAAATGTTAGAGGATTGTGTCAATTATTTAATCTAAGAGTAATGTAATATAAATTTATAAGATGTTGAATGTGAATGGATAATAAGTGAAAATAGATGTACAAAAAAGGAATGTTCAACAGCATAATTAATTAATTATACAGCATATAGTTGTCAATAATATTTTGGTACTTCATGTTCAGTAAATAAAAATTTAGATAAATGCGAGATTGCTTAAAAATATTGTTGGGATTACTCATATGAATAATGCATAAATGATGGATAGAAGAATTTAAGTGGAATTAGTTGTTTTTGGAATGAGGAAAGTCGAACTTGTTTGGAAAAGATTTGTATTAATGGTCCTTCTGTTGCCATCTCTCATACTGAATGTATGTTGTATCTTCCAACATGTCAAAAAGGTGGTTGTCGTTAAAAAGCTTGTTTTGATTATAACTATGCTTAAGATTAGGCATGTGCTTCAATATTTGAAGACAAGAGATGTGCAACAAATGGTTATAGATGTGTTTTAAGATAGAGCTGTGAAGATGTTAATATTATTGATGGATGTACGTTTGATGTAAATTTAAATCCTTGTATTTGGATTGATGATAGATGTGTTACTAAAACTTGTAAAACTGCATTAGTTTCCATTAATAACTATGAAGATTGCAATTCATATTTATCATATTGTACAGTTAAATAAGATGGAGGATGTACTGAAAAGTAAAATTGTGAAGATTATTAATTTAAAGAAGCTTGTTATGTAGATAGTAACAATGGAGAATGTATCTGGGATGAATACCTTAATTAATGTTTTTCTAATTCATGCATTGATTTCTGTGGCAATGGTATTGTAATGAGTAAAGATGAATAATGCGATGATGGTAATTATTTACCATATGATGGTTGTTATAAATGTTAAATTTAATGTCCATAAGGATGTACTGTTTGTAATGGCAATTTATGTTAAGAATGCTAAAATTAGGGATGGGTGTAAATAAATAGTAGTTGTAAATCAGTTTGTGGAGATGGTTTTGTTGTAGGAAATGAATTTTGTGATGATGGTAATAATATTGAATTTGATGGATGTTATTTGTGCACTTATTCATGCCATTAGAAGTGTCTAGATTGTTTCTAAGGTTAATGTATATTATGTGAATAAGGATATATAGAAAAGGAATCATAATGCCATTCTATTTGTGGAGACGGATATTTTGTTTAAGAGATGGAAGAATGTGATGATGGAAATTTAAATAACAATGATGGATGTAATGATAAATGCATGGTTGAATAGGATTGGAAATGTTATACAGAAAATCATATAAGTAATTGTTTATACAGCATACTTCCTAAAATTTAACTTAATAAACTCTCTAAAATTGAAAGTGGAATCCAAGAATTTAAACTATCATTTTCCGAGCCTGTTTATTTGAATAGAATAGGTATAACTGAAGAATAATTTATACAAATGATTCTTATTGAAATTATAAGCTAACAAACCATCAAATACGACATTGAAATCAAATCTATTTTATCTATATCTAACTAAATTGCTGATGTTTCTTATAAAATATTAGTTGATTTTAAAAGTAGTGTGCCTAAAGCTATTTTAAAAGTTTAACTTCTATGCGAAAACATTGTTAATTATGAAAATAACACATTATTCTCTCAAGAAGCAAAATTAGAATTAAAACCATCTTATAAAATTTCTGATGAACAAAAATCATATATTTAAAAAGCTGCATTCTTAAGTAGAATTTTATAATATTTTATCTTTAGTGTTGGTGGAATTGCATTTTTTAGTGGAAATTTAGAAATTATATGGAATCTTCTTGATATGTTTCAATAATTATCATATATGTAATATCACAATATTAGATTCCCATAAACTTTATTAATCTATTTTGAAATATTTAATATTGGTTCATTAACTCCAATAATCAATAAGTTTTAAATAGATTAATTTATTGAAATTTATTTTGATTTCCAATATCCACAAATTTAGACGAAATGGAAATTTGAAGAATATTAAATCAATTGCTAGTTTTTATAAAATTTTTCAACACTTATTACTGTATTGATTTTTGGGTATACATACTTCCTTTGCTCTTACCTTTTTTATAAATTATTAAACCTTATTAAGTTTTAAGATTGGCTATCTAAGGTTGATAAAAAATACTTCCCATTCCTTCTTAAAGTGGCTTAATATTTTTTTTCAATTTAGAGTTTTGCAAGAAAATATTATTAGTATTTTATTTACTCTGGATTAATAAGAATTTTTACTTCTAATTTTTATGAATTG